TTAATGCAACTTTCCATCCTTGATGTTTTGCAGTCCCAAATTTCCTTTTCTTTAGTGATTGATTATTGTCTAACTTTGTGGAAATAAGCCAGTGAGTGCCCCATTCTTGGAAATGTTTTCAGTGAACAAATTTTTGGTTCAGAGTTTGAATAGAAAAGCCTAAAAAAAGAAACAGTATCTTCCTCGAATGGCATCAAAGCAACAGTGCCCTCAGTTGTGTGTGAAAGCATGGAAATTTGGAAATTTTTAAACAGGTGCATTTTACTATAAGCCTATAGTTATTACTCGAAAAAGGATGTCAAATAGGTTTTATACTTTGAAGAAGTGTAAAAGTGCATCTAAGAAAAGTCTATCAAAGAAAACCACTTCACGCCAGGCCCATTTATCCATGTTTAATCTGCTGGGCCAAGTGATTTCATTTTTCTCTTTTTTCAAAATTCTTTAAATATTCATATCTTAATTTACTGGATGCTTACACCCACACGAATGACTGTTAGGTGGCTACTCTAATCTGACAGACAACATCTATTGACGCCGGAGTATTTCCTGCTGCCTTGTAAAGAGAGCCCAGATTGTGTGGTGTTGCGTAATTTTTTTTTTGTTCCCGAAAGTGGCCCAGTTCACTGCTGGCATCTTTTCAAATGCGGACCAGATGAGCATGCAGCGGTATTGTATCGCTGGAGTGCTTTTGTCCCAGTCGTAATCTGCTCGCACTGATTGCCACAAATTGTGGTATACTGTTTCAAAACAATAACCTGCTCTCTATTGACAACTGAAAAAATGTTGGCAATTCCCAGCAGCCCGGTCTTTGTGCCGAGTGTGGTCTTTTGCTACAAGGCCCAGTTTTTTGTCCGATTTCGGGTACCCCATCCGTGCGTATAAAGCCAATGTCTCTGAAACTGGGCTCCCCGGCAGCAAGTGGTAATATTTCATGTGATCACCCCTATCAGGTGGCGTCAGAGCATGTGGACCAACTGATTGGCAGCGAGGAGTTCGCCAGCACCATCGACAACTTTGACAGCAACTTCTCCACCCTGTTGGTGGGCCTGCTGGACCAGCTGAGCCTGTTCAGCACCACAGACTGCGAGCACAACATGACCAACATCATCCACAGGCTGGACTTCAACGGGTTTTACACGGAGGGATTGGAGAGGGTTGCCGCTGAAAGGCGGAGCAAGGAATACCAGGAGGAGGGACAGGACCAAGGTATGTTGTAACACGTAGTAGTTGCAGTCCGAAGGAAATGTGTCATCTCATATTCTTTGAATAGTTTTCCGAAAGATAGGATTCCTGAAATATGTTATGGCACAGTGGACTCGTTTGCACATTTATCACATGCTATTGTGGTCACCACTCGTGCCATGTTCAGTTGTTATTGCTCCGATCCAGCACAGGTTGCTAGCTCCACACGTCTCTCTTACTTTTTGCCATTAATAAAGCTTTTCAGGCTTGCCTGCTATGTAAAAACAGTGCTTGATACTGTGGTCTGTGCGTGTAACAGTGGTGGTTGTAATCAGGTCACGAGTCACTGGATACTTTGTCACATGCTATTGTGGTCACCACTTGTGCCTTGTTCAGCTGTTATTGCTTTGATCCAGCAAAGGTTGCTAGCTCCATATTTCTCTCATACTTTTTGCCATTGATAAAGCTTTAAAGGCTTGCCTTCTCATATGTAAATACTGTGCATGGTACTGTGGTCTGTGCTTACAACAATGGTGGTTGTGCATCGGGTCACCAGTAAGTGAGATTGCCATGTTGGGAATTCTTGTAGGCAAACTTAGCAAGTTTCATTCGTTGGTCCAGCCTCTCTCAGTTTTCACCAGTGAAAGGGGGTACTTGTGTGCAATTGAATTGAAAAACTAATCAGAACATGTCGCACTCCTTTCATAAGCCAGTCTGTTGGCTGTAGTTTCAGTATAATTTTGCAAGATGACTTCAGAAGGACGAACAGAAATCTACAAAGCATAAGTTAGAAGGGTTGTAACAATGGTACCGGTATCAGTAAATTCTTGTGACTTTTCAGTTGTTTCTAAAGCTAAAAAAGGGTTGAGTTTTCTCACATTTTGTTGTTTGTACGAAAGCATTAAAAAGTAGCAATTCGCAAATGCCTAAGCCTTCAAAAGTCTATAAATTTTGAAAAAAAATAAGAATCCTAAAATTTGAAACAAATCCAGAGAAATCCCAACTCTGATCCCCCTTCCCATTTCTCGATCCACCAGGGGCATCAGGTAGTTCTCTGACCAGCGTCTCAAGTCTGTCGTCCAGGGCAAGATCAGATTCAGCAGGCGGCAGTCAGAAGCCAGGGGGTAAAGGAACGTAGCAGAGAAGAGATGTCAGTACCAATCCCCCCCCCCAAAAAAAAAATGGACGAACAAAACCATTATGAAGGTGATGCTGATTGCTGATCCACCATGCTGGACATTATTCTCAGAGTTTTCAATTTCCAATAACTAATGCATACATGTACATGGACAAATTTACTGAGCCAGAGTCCAAACGACTTCTTAAGAGTTTAAATGAGCAGAAAAAGTTTCTTGGAACTGAGACTCGGCAACTATTTGTACCATTAGTTATGCAGCCTCATATACATGTAATAGACCTTGAGAGTCCAAAACTATATGTCAATCTAACTTCACACACACCCCCCCTCAGGGGGTTTGGACTTTTGACATTTTTCTGAGATAAACGAGTAGGCATCGTTCACACACATAAAATTAGGTAGGGGCGCAGGCACTTTAGGGGAAAAAAGCAAAAAAGGGATTTATCTGAATATTTGTCAATTTGGATGGAAGCTTAAGTGATATAGTCTTGAAAATTTCCATTCACATTTTGTGACTTCATGGCCTATGCAAATGTAAGTAGGACTGTAAATATTTGTTGATGCTCTTAACATTTTTGTCCTTAAAGGGGCAATCGTGACCTGGATTTTTTTCTCTAGATCAGTACAGCACTTTCCCTAGTTCTCCCATGAAATACAGTCTTTTCAGACTGTGTGACAAGTACATGTATGAATGTCTTCCTAGTGAGCAGAAAATTTACAGAAATCTAATTTTCATGACAGCAGACATTAAAATGTAATTGTTATGTCAGGGGATGTTAGTTTCATATTTGGTGTTCTACACTTTACCCATGTACATGTATAGACACTGTACACAAAGTGTTGTCTGAAAGTTCGGAAAAACAACAAACATCACAAGTTTACTCAGGTGAGACTCAAAACCCACGATCAGCTTACTGGTGCAGACATACCAGTAGACCACTGAGCTTGCCGGGGCCGATTGGTCAGATCACGTAACATTAAGATGTAATTTTTTTGTGTTAGGGAGACATTGAGTTTAGGTGTTTTGCACAATTCAACTTGCTGGTTTTCGTTATTGTTAGAGTTTTACTTGCCAGTACATTTCTGTCTATGTTTCCGTGATGACTCGATAATACACCAATCTTTGATAACTGTGTAATCATATTTACAATTGAGATACATTCTATGGAATGATTCATGGATGGAGTGCAAATACAAGATGCCTGCAACAATTATATTACCTCTATATTGACATTATAAAGTCCTCATGAATGAAGCGTGCATGAAACGACCAAAAATGCAGCTGCCAGTCACCAATGCCACCAAATGGTTAAATTTGGCCATAATCCCAAGCACAGTGGTGAGAAAACTAAGTACATTCATATTCTGTATTTTGCTAAAACCTTGGCTACTCTTTAAAGCTGAAAATGTGATAAACATCATTAAAATCCTTTTCTTATTACTTGACCTAATATCCAGTTTTCATTATAAGTAAATTTACAAGCACGTTCATGTAGGCATCGCAGCATATCTGATCTGAATAAACTTTTGTGCAGTTTCTAGTATGTTGTGTTTGCCCTATTGCGTTTTTGGACAGCAGCATTCATTTCCTTTAATTTTTTTTTTATAAATTAAAGTGTTCACCAAGACCTCACAATTTGGAGATTAATTTTCTTAATCATCTTTTCCTTTTAATGCTTTATTTTTGATCACTAAAATAATAAATGCATTGAGAGCATAAAAAATAAGCATGTCTTCCTTAAAATGTACATGAAGAATCTAAGCTCGCCACAAAATTTTCCTTTCTGGTTCCGAGGTCATGGCAGGGAAAACCTGGAACCAGGCGCAGTTCTGTTTTGAAGCCTTCCATCAACAGATGCTTCAAGCACAACACCTGCTTGTGTTTGTGAAATTAAACTCTTGTCCCCCCCCCCAGCAGTGGAAAGACTAGGCATTTACAAAGGCTTATAGGTCTTTTAGCGCGCAGGAGAGTTCAAGGAGGAATTCAGTTAATCAGTAACTACTCACAGGGTTTGGCTGGATACTCATTTATAACCAGCAGCTAGGGTTCGTCTACAAAGTTGCCACTGCTCATTGAGAAGATGAACGGAACAGCTGAAAACAGATCCTATGATACAATCTCAAACTACACTGTGCACTTGGATTGTTTAAAAAAAATCAACTTGTTTTAAATAATCTTTTGATAAAATTGAGGGGACAAATGAAATCATTATTTCCCTGTCCATAGTCATTGCTGATTTCCACTAAATTTCCTTCCGTCTCTCTCAAAAAAAGAAAATATTCCAGATTCTGGTATTTGGACAGTTTTAAAATTATAACAGTGATACTGCAATACCTACTTACCCATCCTTAGAAGAAACTATTCAACCATCCAGATGGATGCTTTTTCCTACCCCCCCAGCATTAAGCTTGAAACATCACATACAGAAATATCCTAATTGTCTATTTCTGGACAATGAGACATGCAAAGGTCAAACGTTAACCGTTGGACTTATTATTGTCATACAAATCAATCATCTATGTCTGCTGCTTTGGTGTTTTCTTTCTATAACCGTTGGACTTATTATTGTCATACAAATCAATCATCTATGTCTGCTGCTTTGGTGTTTTCTTTCTATATCTGCCAATGGCAGTCAGTTCTACTGAAATACCTAATTGCTTTTTATTCGTCGGCTGTAAATTGAAGTCGACTCTCTTTAGGCCAGTACATCAACCACTTCACACAACATGTCATTCCTTTGGCGATGTACTTCTACATAAACCTTGGAAGTCAAAACGTGTGGAAGATTATTTTCTTCTCATTTCCAAGTATATTTTTTCACGTTTAATTACGGATATTGAATGTTCTACTTTCAAAAAATGCAATATTATAAACGTAATGATGGCTGAAAGAAAAGTTAGGAACTAATTTGCTTTGATACTTGAAGACTTTGGTTTTATTTTTTCTGAACATATTTCTTATAATTTATTAGCAGAAATCCATTCTCTTGAAAGTTAAGTTATGCATGCAAAGTAAATAATATGGAGTATTTCAATTGTCATGATGTCTTCAAAGATTTTATCACTGGTCTAAGAAAGGAGTTTATCATCGCTTTTCAGTCTTCTTTGCATATAATAGTATCATAGCCCCCTTTTCGTTGAGTTGCAACTTCAAACTGTGCTCCTCATCCCTGTTTCCAAAATTGTGGGGATTTTGCAGGAATATTTATGGTAAACACCAGAAGATTTGTCGCCAGTTTTATGCTGATGCCTCCTACAGTATTTCATTACTACTTCTGTTTTTGCAAGATGTCATCACTGAGCAGTGCCTGCTGAGCTGTGTGCTGTTGCCAGTGACCCTAACCAGTATACATTTGCAGATGATTGGAGATACTGGTAATGAAGTCACGGCTGATCTCTGTCAGTGGACTGTAAGATCAATCTACGTGCACATGTTTCCAACCTCGTGCGTCATCACTGTCTTCACTGACAGACGGAGCCGTGTAAAAGCCAAATGCATTCTTCTGAAGCCGGCAAGGAAATGTGAATACTGCAACATAGAAACATGCATGAAAGACAAAGACAGCCGTGTCTACAATTTGAAAAAGTATTTCTCCTTAAAGCTGGTAACTTGGTAAAAATGAAAGTGATGAAAGTGAAGGGAATCTTCTTGTAGTGGTCTTTCCAACCTTCACAAAATGTAATGACCAGACATCAGAGAACCAATTATTGGATTTACACGGCTTTCTTTTTCCTGAGTCTCCAAATAATATACAATACATTGTATTTTTATGAGTCCTTCATTGAGTAGATACATGTAATATATATATGCAAAAGATGAAAAACGGACAGAGTCTACTTTGCTGGGTTCACACACTTGCATTTTAATCATTACAAAATTGTGCCACTTTAAAAGGCTGGGTGTCAGGTGCTTTGCACAGCAACAATACTCTATGATGTACAGTACTTCAGAATAAAACACTGCATAGCTACATATCTTTTAAATGACATCTGATGAAAAATAGCTTGAATAACATTTTAAGACAGATGAACTGGACCAAAAAATTCTTTTTGTCACGGTAGATTGGTTTACAATCTGCTCCAGTTTTTTGCTTCTTACCACTAAATTGAATTTGAAAATGGTACATGTAAGCTTTTTTGTCAGTGGAAGTTGTCTGACCATCAACTCTATTCATTCACAATTAGAAAGTTGGAGTAGGATGTGCCTGGTCAGATGTGAATTCAAGAATCACGGTCCAAGTCACTTATTACGCAGTGTACATGTACATGTAGTTTCTGACTGCACTTCACACCTTATTCGTGACTCCCATATTATGGCAGATCAAGAGCTGACGTACCGGTGCATGTACACACAATATGTAACTGAAACGCTCTGTGTCTGATGATTCAACTGTCTGTGCATGCATGATGACGACACGAAGTGTGACTTGATACACCGTTGATGATACATGCACATCCCTCGACAGTGGCAACACACACTGAACAAGCGCCTAGCCTGCCCAGTTTGTTAACATTGAACTACGGTGCATGTACATGTAGTCAGCAAGGATTGCACCTTCAATGTTGACCAACATCACACGATAGCAACATTTGCTCTGTAAACTAAAAAAAAAAACAACATAAGGCAAGTGATCACTGTAGCGACAAGGCCCATAATTACATTTGGAGTATTCTTACAAGCATACACTACAACCAACAACGTACGTCTATTTCCTCAAAGTAAATGTAAATAGTTGACCAAAAAACTAATCACTCTACGTACATTTGTCTTTTAGAATCCACTACATGGGTAACACATTTAGTGTAGAATTACATGTAAGTTGAAATGTGAAAAAGCTAAATTCTAGGCAGTTTTAATACTAAATTAGAAAGTTACATATAGTGCTGTCAGACAGCAAAATTTAATTTTACACCCTGCTATCATTTTTCATGTTGCACATGCTATTGCTGAACTCAGTTCAACAATTCTACTTTACTGTTTCAAGCAAGCAAAATAAAGCTGAGATCTAAGCAATTAACAATACACATCTAGCAAAAAGTAAAAAACCAAAATCTCTATCCAAGTATATCAAATTACGTTATGATTTTTGTTTCTAACTTTAATTTTAATAAATATAAATATTGCAATTTAATTGCAGAAATATTTCACAGGAAAGACAAACACAAGCACTGCTGCAGTACTATGTAACACTTCATCAGAGCTACATGTACCGGTATGCATCCCATTTCCACAATATTAATTACACCTTACATTAATTTTTTGGTTACTCTCAAACACTTAAAGCCAACTTCCATAATACATGTTTTACATTATATTTTCTCTTGGTTTATACTCCAATAGGTTGGTGCTAAATGCTAAACACTGGGTAAGTAATTGAAGATACTATTAGAAAAATACTGTAGCTGTTTTAGAAACTGGTCTGGCCTACTTGTACCTTATGGGTTTAAAGCATGCTGAATAGCTGAGGGCAAGTTAAAGCGATGACGGAAGTTAAAAGCATGGTCCAACCATAAGTGCTTAGTTGCATTGCTGGTTACCAATAGCGTGGTTTCATAGATTGGCATTGAGGAAAGGGAAAGAGTTGCATGTGTTGAAGCTACTTGACACTCTGTGCACAAACCCCATGAGACTTGTCTGAAAAATTCCGGGTGTTTTTGTATGCAAAACACATGTACATGTTCTTCCATATTTTCCCTGCTGAACTTGACTTCTTAGGTCGTGTCACTGCTTTCAGATGGCTAATGGGTAATTGTAGTGCTGTCCCTATGGAACTCTTCCCAAGAGAAGCACTGCCATGAAAATAATACGGGCGATTCACAATAGAGCGCCACCAAGAGTTTGCAACATGTTAGCCAATCATAACGCATGAAATTTGTCTACCTAATGCCTGTTTGGAAACACGACAGGGACAGACAGAGTGAGGACAGAGAAAATGAATGCAATGAGAGATGAAACCAACAGCAAATGAGCGGGGTGATGGGATTTTGTGAAATCGTTCAATGATAGTCATATGAGGGCAATTCCACGGAAGCATCAACTGCTGGGTAAAAATTTCAAAATGGTCCAAATGTGAAATATTATGTATCATTTTGAAAGTGAAAAAAAGTTCAGAAGCTACAAGTAGGAGAAAATGACTTTAAAATTTATGCCCCTGTATATTTTCAATGGGCCACTCTACATGTAGCTTGTTGCTTCCACTTGCCATTTATATGCACGCACACATAAATTAGAATTGATTAGTGAACAGGTCTGGAAAGTCATAACTATGGGAGAAAGGCAATCCACGTGCAACATGTACATATAAGTATGTACATGTACATGTATGAGCGTACATGTACATACACTGGACATGTACAGGTGCAACCAGCATTGCACGTCATAGGGGCAATTTACTTTACAGTGCTTTGAACCAAAAACATCAAGAAGATTGCCAACTGTAGAACAAAGAACTTTTTGAGAGTTTTAATGTTTGACAGTTTATGACTTGTTTGAGTTAGCAAAATTTGCATATATATCTTTGTGAAAAGTATTTTCTGTCATTCTGTTTCATTGAATACCTTATTATCCAATTTTTTTCCAGTTGTTTTGATAAGCGTTGGAGTTATCTGAAAGATGTGAAATGAGGTAAGCTTAGGTTTAAACTGATTACCTTCTATTTTTTGTGAAGTAATTTCAGGTGTACGTCCAACACCACAAAATGTACGTCCGACACCAATGTAATACATGCTTTTTGTCACATGTCACAATATCTTGCCTTGAAGTTTATTAACAGGGGTCTAGTGAAACTAAACACAGGAAAAAGATCACCTCAAGTCCTAGCACAGCACAGAGTTTGTGATACAAAACTGGAAGCTCAAAAAATGAACTTTCTATGAGTACATCTGACACCATGGCGTTGCGAGTCAGTTTGTACAAGAGTAATAACGCTGAGTGGGTAATTGTTTTATTAAATCAATGTACCAACAACTGTTATCAAAATGAATATCTGCTTGAGGGTTATAATTCTCATTTAATTCACACTGTTGGAAGTGTCTGAAATGTACGTCCGACACCGTGGAATTGCCAGTGAATGGGAATGCAGTGTGCACATGCATTCAACTGTGCAAGTGGTGAAACTACATGTATTGTTCATGCCTGAACTTGCCTGAACATGTACTGCACACCCTATATTTCAATTCTGCATTTTCAATTTGCTCCAAGATAATTCATTTAATGCACCTGCATTCATAAACACGAAGTGTCACATACAATGTACACTGCAAGGCTTTGGGGCACGTTGACTAGTCGTTGAGAAATACCAGTAGTCAAGTCATTCATTTATACAATCAACCTGCACTAAAGTGACGATTCATACACAGCTCACAACGGCACGACTAAATCATTTACATGTAACACATGTACATTGTACGTTGTACTTTACAAGGTGCATACACCATAATGTACATGTATATGGTACGTGTACATGTACATTACTCTGTTACTCATGAACATTACTCTGTTACTCATGTACATTACTCATTACTCAGTATACATGTATCTCATACAGTGTAAGAAAGACACAAAGCACCAAGTTTTCCAATGGCAAGCAAAAATCAGCAAAAATACAAACAACTGATGATGGTAAATAATCTTGGTGTTTTAATGGCAAGCAAAAATCAGCAAAAATACAAACAACTGATGATGGTAAATAATCTTGGTGTGAAGACATTTATGCAAAGTTACAGTTCAAGCAGATTTTGAATGGAAAGTGACTGAACCGTTCCGATGTTTGGAATTGCAAGGATGAAGTAACATGGCACATGTACACACAGTACATTTGAATTGAGCTTAACAAGTGAAGCCAGATCTGTCATGTCTGTGACAGAAATGCCTACATGTGCATGTATGCAATGAATGCGTATCACATGTAAAAAGGGTCTTGGAAAAACAAGTCCCACTCTCCTATAAATCAATACTTGTCAAATTTGCATACTGAAAGAGAACAGATGACTGTACTGGACCTTGCTTCTGTTCTTGTAACAGACAGTGCTGTTGACACTTTCTTTGGCCAATGTTCTCTGACATCTGAATCAGTACAACGGAGGGCCTAAATACCTATGGATGGTCACTCCACATCCATGAACTCTAAGAGCATGAGGCATGTCGACGACATTTGACCAATAGTTAGCAATTGGACTGAATGCTTCAACTGAGGTCAGCGCCTGATAGTTCCGCATCCCGCCGGCTACCACAATCACGCCTTGCCTCTGGAGGGCCACGGCAGCAAAGAGATGCCTCTCCGTATTACACATGGTCATGGGGGGCAGGCAGATGTCTGTGTCTGGATCATAGACCTGTATCCCATTCCGACCACAACCACCGAGGATGTACATGTAACCATTGAGCATCAAGGTGGGGAAGTGACGGCTAGTGATGGGGACTGTTGTAATGACAGTCCACTGGGTGGTGACCGTGTCCAGGCACTGGATGTGACCGTAGGTTGTGGCCTGGCCTGTCTGGCCTCCAACGACGAACAGCTTCTGACGATGGGATGCGATGGCGGGACCACTGACCGGCTCTGGAAGTTCGGTGACGGTCTGCCACTGGTTGCTGCTGGCACTGAAGCTCTCAACTTCCGCAACAAAGCCTGATTTCTGTTCGCCGCCAGCAACGAAGATCAGGTCCTCTATGACAGCACAACCATGGTGCTGGCGGGCACAGGTCAAGCCTGACATCGCACCCCATCCGTCTTTCTCGATGTCATACCGGTACACCAACTGGGAGAAGCTGGATTTCAGCTTGCCTCCTATGACGTAAATACAATTGCCCAGACGGGTGACTGAATATCCACTCAGTGGTTCTGGGATACTCGTAAGGCTTTCCCACTTCTTAAGGATCGGATTGAAAAATCTGACATCAGTGATGCAGCTGTGGTCATCCCGATAACCTCCCACGACAACCATGACCTCAGTCCTGGTCGACGGCCTGGGCCTGGAACAGCTGACGCTCTGTGCTTGTCTCTCGGTTTGAACTTGAAGTTTTTTCTGGATTTCAATGGCCTGACTGACCAACTCCATGGTTTTCGAGCTTTGGGCGACATCAGGATCGCCTGCGACGGAATGCAGGAGTTTTGGGGGAAGATAGTGCAGACGCACACAACGGAGAAGCCTGTGCAGATCTGAGGACTTAAGATTCTTATTTGATTCCCTCCACTGTGCAAAGCTGCGATACACCGTCTCTTCTTTTGACACATTTAGTGCATCGTGGGAGAGATACTCAGCAAGTTGACTGGTTGTCATCTGCAGGAACTCTTCCTGCTTGCAGACCTCCTCAAATCTTTCTAGACTGTATGCTAGTGCAGCCTGGTAAAGCCTTGACAAGGAATGTGTGTCGGCAAAGCTCAGCAGTCCCAGGCAGTTGGAAGGATCAAGATTACTCTCCATGAAATCGCAGCATGCCTCGACAACTTTAGCAAACTGGAGGCGATGTGCGGCCTCCAGCAGTGCCTGGGCATTTGCTGTGTCAATGATGATGGTGGACGTGTAGGCGTACTCTACTAACAGCTCCAAGATGTCGGCATCCATCTTGTCTAAGTACACATGCCCTTCATCGCTCTCACGCAAGTCATTCGAGAACATAGCAAGGAAGTATTCACTGCAACAAGCCAGGATCGCTCGATGGCAAGGAATGGTCCGACAGCCAACGTGGACAGTTACATCCGTCAGCTGACCCTGTTTACGCATTTTGTTTAAAGTGGTCAGGATCTCCGAGGATTGGCCAGTGTCTTGGAAGAGTACATGTATGTTCATTTCTGACTTTTGTCCAGATGTACGTGTAGAATTAGTTCCTTCCATGGCCTACAGTCAAGAGACCTGAAAAGAAGAAACCCTAATCATTATCAATTACTATGATTCAGATTTACAGCAGGGAGCAGGTTTGATGTTTTAGTAAGAATTGGTACAGGACAAAATATAATTTGCTAACTGACTTTTTACAAAGCAAGCACCAAGTCCGCTGCACAAAGTTCCTGTACATGTATTCATTCGCTCTTGAAGTTCGGTCGCGGAAACCATGCTGGACCACATAAAGTATAAGCTTTGCTGGCTGTCATGATACATGTACATGCAGCTCTACCGTAAGGGACATGAACAGTGAATGCACCGGTTCATGTGCATGTGAGGCAGCACAGGTGCAAAGCATGGCCCTGTACATGTAACTGTCTGATCATTTCTTTGTTTCTGTGGACTGAATTCAATTAGTATCCAAAAAGTTCAATTCTTTTGACACCCTAGCAAAGACTTCTAGCTCTGAAGGATTTCTTTTTCTTTTCACCCCCAAAAGGAAGTGCAGTAAGTTTGTTGGTGGATATTATTGAAAAAAATGTATGTGTGTACATGTACCTTTACATGTGCATGGCCCTACCAATTTGAAATTCAGCCACGTTAACGTTATCAATACTGTCACAGATTTGAAAAAACTTATATTTATAAGTTATATTTATAAGGAAATATTTACATCCTGACCTCTTTCTGCATTTCATACGTATTACTAACTTGGAGGGTCCATTACTGCAGTAATGTTTCAAAGACATGCATGCCCTAGTTTGCGAGAAAAATAATCTATAATTTTTTCTGAAATGTTGTTGACTTTACTTTTAAGGGACTCTGCTACTACCAATATTCTCCAAATATGACTCCTAACTCAACTTCTGCCAAGTATAATTAAGAACTTCTCAGCTAGCTGCAAAGGTGATTTTGGACTGATACCTCACACACCTTGTCAGAATTTTAAAATCCATTCCATGAGTGATGTTAGTATCAGTAGCTCTATGGTCTAATGGTACTCTTTACAACATCAGGAATAAAGCACATGACCTTGACTGTTTCAAACAGGAATGTCTTACCATGGTCTTACCATAGCTCTATGTTGTTACAGTGAACATGTACATTGTCTTAACTCTTAGGTGGGTAAAATTGGATTTTTGGACATTACACCACTACCTGAAAGACCCAATGGCTGCAGCTACATGTATTACATGTATTACGGAACTGATTTCCATAAATACATAAAGGAATAAGTCTTACCTTGATTCTACTCACCAATACAAGAAAAACCGAGATAATAATCATCTTTCAAGTTTCATGCACACTCTCAGCTTCATGTACAATGTACAGTACTGTACACAATTGTAAGTACTGTGTGTGTGTGGCCGTGGGCGCGTGTCCCCTCTGTGACCCCAATGTGCCTAGCGCCTACATATGTGTATGTGTTGTACCTACCACTAGTACCAGCAGGGAGATAAGACGTCTGCTCGCTTGGCTGTGCTACCGCCGTTTATCACCCTCCTGTCAGTAACAATTCCAAGTCGTCCTTTTCCATCCACCAGTGTCCCGTCAAGCGAAATCAGCAACAGTCAGAGCCCCATGGTCAGAGCAAGGCCAAGGACGCCCACGTCATGCAAGTACAGCGAGGACGACTCAGTACCGACCTCTGTAGCACCGGTACCGGTACGGTGCGGATCGGTATCACAGACATTGATCTTGTGCAAATTTATCCACAGAGATACCTAGTACCTCCGAAGTGCCACAAGCTGTTTGGCGCCACCAAGCATCCCCATGTTTCTTCGAATGGACGGAAAAGAAACACAACTTGTGATTTACGTGAACTCAGACTTGAATTGATTGTTACTATCTTCATTCACTGATAGTAATCGTTCTGCCCCGTTACCTCAATCTCTTGTTTCTTAAGGGAAAAAAAGACCATTTTGCTTGATGTTTTTGGTTCGTTTTGAAACTAGCTCTTCGCGCTCTTTCAAACTCTATAATCTTCAGTTAAATTTCGAATCGGTCACCTATTGACACTACAAACAGAGAAAATTAGCATTATCTCCTGATAATTCACAAATTTCTAATTTTTTCACTGATCCAGCATTTCTGTTGTGAACAAATGTATGCAGCAAACGTCACATGTTAAAAGCACGCCCGGTAATTCCCCAATTATGAAAAGGTTAATTACCTGCAATATAATTATAATTATATGAGACAAGGGAGGAGAGACTCACCTTGTAGGTTGCCCCACGTGATGCAGTCTGATCCGCCTGTTGAATGATGAAGTAATGTAATCGTCTCCCATTCACATTCAAACTTAAGTCAGTGCCAAGGTACAGACCAATGCACCCTCTTTTTGAAGTTGAATCGCTACGTCAGATCATTGTGACTGGCGACAGTTTAGATTGGTTCTTTGGAAGGGAGATAAACTTTGCCTGCAGCAAAAGGAGAAAGAATAAAGGAGGGAGTGAGTTGAGTCTCTCCTCCCTTATCTTATATAATTCTAATTATATTGCAGGTAAGTAACCTTTACATAATTGGGGAATTATATTTCGCTAATCTCGGAGAGACTCACCTCGTAGACTATATTCAGAGCACATCTGCAATTGAACTTTAAAGCCGACGCCAGCACTTCTTGACCATATTTCCTCCTGTCAGGATGTCTACAGTAAACTGGCTGCAACTTCGTCTTCGATGAAGCCAATCTGCCGTCTTCAGAATGTCACCCCTAACACCCACGGGGGTTGCCGCTGAGTGAGGATTATGCACTTCTAGTAGAGTGTGCTTTATAGCACGAGATGTTAATACCAGCGTCAGCCATGAGTGATTTCAACCAATCTGCAATATGGTTGATAACGCAACTGGGTGATACGGTTTTCCACAAGAAATGAAAAGTTGCGTGAATTACGTACTCCCAGAACCCCGCAGAGAACCGTGCGATCTAGGTATTCATCCGCCGCCCTGACAACACACAACTTCCTATAAGTAGGATGTTTACGGAGAACAATTTCTCTACTTGATCACTGCACTGAAGTACAGTTGGCTAACTTTTGTAGACAGAACACACAAGTACCATCTTGTTCTCTTCTTAAGAAGATGTCTAAAGCTGTCAAAGATGAACATTTTCCAGCTGTTACAAGGGCTATTAACATGGCCAATTCCTGTGAAAGCTGTATGATGTTGAGACAGGTAGTTGTCAGGGAGTCCATTTAAATATCTCATGATAACACCAACACCCCAGGTAGTATTATACCTCGGTTTAGGAGGTCTTAAATTAAAGACACCTTTGAAAAGTCTGGCTTTCCATCAACAAAACAATGTGCGGACGAAATAGCAGAGCGATAAACACTGAGTGTCCTGTATTGGAGGCCATTACTAAACAATTGTTGTAAAAAGGATAATACTTTTGCTACAGATGCCTGAACAGGATCCCACTTAGAACACCAGCTACACCTGCGTCTCCCTGCAGAATTGAGCTGTTTGTGAGTATTCCGCTCCAGGATGACAAAATTGTGTCGGACACGCTAGGAGGAATTCCTCTTGTTGCCGTGGTTTGCCGGATAACCTCCAGGCGGCTAGTTGCATCTTGTGTGCTAGTCGATGTTGTTTGAGGTTGTGCGGTAGGCATACTAGGCAGGAGGAGAAGGTTGCAAATGGTCAGTTGTAATAGCAGCGGGTAGTAAGGTTCCGTCTTCCAGACGGGAGCTATCAGAACTACTTCTGCTACGTCTCTGCTCACTTTCTGAAGGCATCTGGCAAAGAGAACAAACGGGGGAAACGCGTAACCTGTCGGTCCAGGTCAGCAACAAGCGTCCACAGCCCAAGCCGAGGGATCGGGTCTCCAAGAGACAGACTTGTGAAGCTGGATGTTTAGCCTGGATACAAATATGTCGACTTCTGGCTGGAATGCAAAGCTGTTCATGATCTTCCGGAAGATTTGAGGAAGAAGACACCATTCGGCACTGTCGTTGAACTGCCTCGACATCATGTCCGCTGTGGCATTCTGTGACCCCGGAAGATTCTCTGCCGAGATCAAAGTATGCCCTGATGAAGATACCAAACCCAAATCTGTACCAACGGACGTGACAACTATTTCTTGATCTTGATCAGCATACTGCACAAATCGCCCCCGATGTGGCTGTTAACGTGCAGTCCCTCATGCATCGCCCCCATACTTAGGTGTTATCTAACATTGCCTTGAAACGTTTTCACATTTGGTGCTGATTTAATTGCAGATGGCAAGGCATTCCACTTAGGAATGGTACGAGGATACAGTGACTTCCTGTATCAGTCCTTATTGGGGGATCGTATAGTTCAAAGTACGAGTTGCACGTGTAGTCCGTTCACATTGATCAGTGAGGTGACCAACATTTTGTGGAACCAGCAAGTGAGTTTCCTTGTAAAGAGTGGTCAGTCTTGCCTTCCGTCTGGTCGTGTGTTCCTCCCTTGTGGGAAATATATGCCACTGTCGAAGTGCGGTCCGTGTGCTCCCAAATATGTTTCTTGCTGCAACCGGTCAGAAGCGACCTGAGCGCATACCACACTGCCAAAAGTTCCAAATAACTGATGTGATTGAAGTGTTCTTGGCGCGTCCAGCGCCTCGCCGAGGCACGTTCCCCATCCCACTAGAGATGCATCTGTTTGAAGGTGAAGCTCGGGGATGTCCTGAACAAATCAGTGACCATTCCAAACTTGAAAGGGATCTATCCACCACATTGAATATCTTCCTTCGAGTCTGCTGAAAGAATTACCGGTGACTCGTAGGACTTGCTCTTCTGAAGAACGCAGTTCTGGTCGTTCTGTAGGCAACGATAAAAGAGAGGTGCTGGAAGCACCGCTTGAATGGTTGGTGACATTCGGCCTATAAGACTCGCTACATCGCTGACGGTGATATCGGTGGATTGTTGAACTTGATGGCAGTGAGACACAATCTTGTCTAACTTTTCTTGTGTCAGGGATAGCGTCATGTGCTCGGAGTTTAATAATTAAGTTCTCTGGTTGGTTCCAGATGCGACTTGCAAAACTTTATTACAAAGCCTAGACTCTGCAGAAGTCGAAGTGTCCGTTGTACATTCGTTCTGCATTCTTTGACTGTATAGCTAGACTAGGCCTATCGTCCAGGTCGAACACACACCGGATTCCCTCCCGGCTAAGGAATATTATCACGGGTTTTAGGATTGTTGTAAATGTCCGAGGAGAACTCGACAGGCCAAGTGGTAGGCACGTAACTGGAAAATCTGTCCTAGTGTTTGACTAGGAGATACCGGAGACACTGACGATGAGGTGGATGTATCGGTACTGAAAAAATAAGCGCCGTTCATATCTATGGAGGCTAGGTAATCGTTCGGTCGTAGCAAATTTATTACACTTGTTAGGTCCTCCTTCTTGAAGTGATGATACCGAGTAGATTTGTTCAGGGGCCGTAAATTGAAAATAGGCCTCATCTTCATTTTTCTTTGGAATGAGGAACACAGAAGAGATAAACTGACCTGCAACTTGTTTCTCGCCGGTAATTGCTCCCTTTTTCAGCACTGACTCTATTTCTGCTGACATTGATGCTTTCTGTGACTCTTTTTGTATCCTTGTCATCGGAATGTGATTTTGTACTGGTGTCTGGAGGAGCTTGATATGATATCCGTGGATGCTCCCAATACCCATGGGTCCCGAGTTACTAAAAACTATTGGTGGCAAAAATATCGGAGGCGCCCAGCCTAAGGAAGGAGTGGCTTATCTAGTAGTTTTTTTTAACTCTGCTGTTCGAACGAGCGAAAGCTATACGTGCCGGTTTTGAACCGTCACTCCCTTTGATTTGATGTATTACGGCTGAAGCTGCGAAAGGAATTACGGCTGAAGGCACCACGACGTCCCCTGTTCTGAGATCGTGCTATAGCATGACGATATGGCACAAAATGCTTCTCCTTCTGGCAGTGGCGTAGCTAGTAGGGTACGGTACCAATATCTTATGGGGGGTACCAGCTTTCAGTGGTGTAGTTTTTGGGGCCAGCTTTTGTTAGCCAATTGTTCCATATCCATTCATTCGTTTATTCAGTTGGGGCACCGGAAATTTGTGTGCGTGTGTGTGGATGGGGGCGTGCCCCAGACCCCCCGTGGCTACGCCAGGCTACCTTCTGGGTTGTAGGAAAGCCTTCAGTCACCCTCGCTGCTAATTTATTCGCTTTCTCAGTCTCTTCAATGTCATGTGGAACCCAGTAGAATCAAAGCTGAGGTCAAATGTTCAACAAGATTTTTACTCATTGAGTCAGGGCACTCTGTATGCACCACAGCATCAAATAGATGAAGACGTGTCAAAGCCGATTTCAAAATATATCCGTGGGCCGACTTAAAATGGTTATCCCCTGAAACCTGGGACGAATTAGCTTGTTTGGAGACCTTTTTAATCCCAGCTGGCAATTCTGGAGGTTCAAAGTGGCCTACTTGATCAAATGTCACCACGAGACTGAGTTCTTCTTTAAGGTTGTCGGGAGACTGTTTGTTCCAAGTTCCTTCCACCAATCTAGCACTTTATCAGATAAGGGCGTACCCGTGTCTTTATGATGGGGGTTGCGAAAAGTGCCCGATGCAGTAGAAATTGAGGAAGAATTGTCATCCTCCCCATGACTAATATCAGCCTCTGTAGTTCCAAAACTTAGTTCAACGTCGCTTCGATCACGCCACTGATAAGCAGAATGGGCGGACACATATTGTTGTTACATGGGCCTCATCCAAGGAACAGACATACCATAAGGAAACATACCATATGGAGGAACCATTGTCGGCGTCATGGTTGGTTGAGCACCATCCGTTTGTAGCATGCCGGGTCCCCTAGGCTAGCGGCATACACAGGAACGTTAGGCACATTCCACATATTGCCAAATGGCGCGAAAGTTGAAATGGGCGTTGGCACGGCATGGGTAAGAGCACGGCCAT